CGACTCGACCTCGCCGAAGTGCAACGTCGGGGAAGATAGAGCAGCATGGCGTCGGTCAGGAGGCACGAGAAGAGGGCCTTGGTGCAGGACGTCTACAACAAGCTGGACCAGCGCAGCCGTCTCATGTGCACCAGGTGCTCGCTCGAGCTCGAGACAGCCATGCTAAGAGCCGGCAAACAGCTCCGCGCACACCAAGGCGTGCCGCCAGGAAAGGCTTCTTCGTGATTGAGGTGTTCAGCGGGTGCGGCAGCTTCAGCCGAGCCGCGAGACGCAGAGGGATCGATGCGTTCGCCTTCGATATCCTGCAGGGCCCGCAGGGCGATGTCACACGCGTCAGTGTACAAAGACGCATCCGAAGGTTGATTGCACATCCTCGCTGTCTCGGCCTGCTCTGCGCCCCCCCGTGTACCACGTACAGTATTGCGAGAAGGCCAATGATCCGCTCTAAGCAACGCATCCTTGGGCTGCCAGATGTTCAGCCCCACATTCGGAGACAGCTCGAGATGGGGACCCGCCTCATGCAGCTGATTGCCCAGTTCTGCGCCTACGCTTCTCAGTGCAGCGTACCGTGGGTCATCGAGAACCCGCAGACGAGCTTGATTTGGTCCACCCCCGAGTTTCAAGGCCTCAGTCGAGGCCTCAACGTCGAGAACGTCGTGACTGACATGTGTGGTTTTGGGGCCAGATGGAAGAAACCTGCGACCCTGTGGTGCGCTGGACTGATAGGAATCGAGAACATGATTTTCAAGTGTGGTAGCTACGGAACTAGGCCCTGTGAGTACTCAAAGCAGCCCCACATCGTGTTGACTGGAGGGGGCCATCTGGGGGTCCGCTGGACTAAGCGAGCGGCCGCTTATCCCTATCGATTTGGGCCCTGCCTGGCCAAAACCTTCATCGACAATGGGTTCGCTAGAGTACTTGGGGCCGCTTGCCGTTCCGGTATTTCGGTGGTGCCTTGGGCGAAAGCTGGACTGAACCTGAGCACCTTGAACCGCTAACGAGTTTTGCGTATTTTGGGTGGTATCAATGCTTTCAGGGCGCCGACGCGCCCCCGCTCAGGTATGCCCCTGGATCCGCGCCGCCTCGACGCACCAAGGATTGCAACAGAAATCTGGTTCAAGAAAAACTGGAATGGCATGACTGATGGGTTTGCTTTAGCATGGGATTCAGGAAGTGAGTGAGGGTTTTCGCTTGCAGCTTTTCCTCTCACCGTCCAACAGCCCCACCACCGCCCTTAGTTTTTTGGAATCCCAGCCCCCCTTGCAGGGAAACCACTCAGCTTTGTGCTGATTGCTGCATCTTATATAACCGCTAACGCGGATAGTCCTGCTCACCTCGCCCTGGCACCACACGGGTGGTATCAATGTTTTCAGGGCGCCGACGCGCCCCCTCTCAGGTATGCCCCTGGATCCGTGCCGCCTCGACGCACCAAGGATTGCAACAGAGATCAGGTTCAAGAAAAACTGGAATGGCATGACTGATCCTGCTGCTCCTCCTCCTCCTCCTCCTCCTCCTCCTCCTCCTCCTCCTCCTCCTCCTCCTCCTCCTCCTCCTCCTCCTCCTCCTCCTCCCCCTTCTTCTCCTCCCGGCCCCCGTCCCACTACACGCTGTTTATGGCCCCCCCCCGCCCCCCCTCCCTCGTCCGAGGAGGGTTGGTGGTGAAGGAGGAGGAGGAGGAGGAGGAGGAGGAGGAGGAGGATGGGGGGAGGGGAGTCGACGGAGGAGAGGTCGGCGAGGGTAGGAGAGGGAGTACATAGGAAAGGGAGCAGGGGGAGGTGGAGAAAGAGGAGGAGGAGGAGGAGGAGGACCAGTGTAAACCCAACAGTCACCAACGATGTTGGAATAATCCCTCCCTCCAAGCTCCCTATTCATAGGCCCTTGTAGCGGTTCGTCTCCAGTGGGGGAGCAGCCTCATTGGAAGACAATTGTTTGAAGAGCTTGAAGCGTGCCACAATATTATCCTCGGGATTCCAACGCCACGGATCAACCTGACTGATGCGTCTTGACGATCTTGACTCGTGCCAGGGCGCCTTTCTTGGGACTGAAACGCCGCGAATCTAAGCAGCTGTTGCACCCGCATAATCCTGAATCCTTCCGAAACACCTTTCTGGTACGTTGACCATGGGAATCCGTGAAACTCTTGCATTTGTTTGAAAGGAATGTGCGCGGCGCGAAAAGCGAGAGCCACGTTCTGAAAACGACCCACCCTCCATCTGTGAAAAGGTTACCAATGTTTAAGCTCCAGGGTCATACATGGTGAGGAAGTCTGAGGCGAAACGTCCGGCCCGCCCTTTCGACCGGCTTCGGAGTGCGACGGGGAAAAGTTATTTATGAGGAAAAGGAATGGAGGATGACGAAGACAGGAGGAGTGATAAGGAGGAGCAGCAGCAGTAGCAGGAGGGGAAGGATGTGTACGTAGGACGAGGACGGGGAGGATGGATGTTGGAAGAGGGGGGGAGGATGAGGAGAAGAGGGGAGCAGGAGGAGGGGGAGGAGGAAGAGGGTGAGGATGAGAGAGGGGGGGAGGCTGAGGAGACTCCTCCACCTCCACCCTGTCCCTGCCCCGTTCCCCACGCCCTCATCCTCCCCCTCCTTCTCCCCCTCCTACTCCTTCTCTCCCTCTTCATACATGACCCCCCCCGTCTCACCACCAGACATGTCCATAGGCCTGGACGGGCGGTTCGCTAAAGACTGTCTTACAAGGTGTTAGGCTGAATCTAAAAGTGAATCCAGTCTGACCCGAATTAAGGATCTTTTTTCTTCCAAAACAATTACAAGCAGTTCGGAGCAATTCAACGCAATGCAATGCACAGCATTGATTCGCATTCCGTGGCATCTATTTGCGCTGCTTGGCATTGCTTGGTGTGTATTCGCATTGTTTGGTGTTTGGATCGTTGCTTGACATTGGTAGGCATTAACTTGCATGTGGTGGCATTCCTTGGCATTGCTGGGCGTTGCTTGGCATTGCTTGGCGTTGCTTGGCATTGCTTGGCATCGCTGCTTGGCATCGCTGCTTCGCATCGTTGCTCGGTATTGCTTGGCATTGCTCGGCGTTGTTTGGTTTCGTTTGGAACTGCTTGGCAGTACTTCGGACTGCTTGGCACTGCGTGGCGTTAGTTGACACTGGAAAGGGCGCGTTCTGTGGGCGCTCGGAGGGGGTGGGGGTCCGGAAGCGGCCCCCCCGCCCCCTGGTTCTGGGGGGGGGTTCGAACCCCCCCCCAGGCGGGCGCCGGCGTGGGCCTGGGACTGGGCCTGGGCCTGGGTCTTGGCGCGGGAATGGGCGCGGGCGCGGGCGCGGGCGTGGGCGTGGGCGTGGGCGTGGGGGGCGCCCAGGTGGCCGAGTGCGACGCGACAGCAGCGGCCTGCGCGCTCGGGTTGGGCCTCTCCGCGCCTCCCGAGAGCCGCGCACTGCTGAGGGTCCCTCCTGCCTTAAGTCGGGCGTGTCCCCCTACAGGCGGATTCTCGACGAAAACTAAAAAATACCCCAAAAATGTTCCGAAAACGTCAAAACATATTCCAAAAATAGTCCCCAGACTATGTTTGGACTATTTTTGGGGGTTCTTTATTTTTCGTCGAAAATCCCCCTGTAGGGGGACAGGCCCGACTTAACTCTTGCCTGGGGCCGCTCCTGCGCGTCGCCGAGCCAACAAGGAAGAACCCCTTCGGCAAAGACGAGTTGGTAACAGGGGGAGGGGGAGGGGGAGGAGGAGGAGGAGGAGGAGGAGGAGGAGGAGGAGGAGGAGGAGGAGGAGGAGGAGGAGGAGGAGGAGGAGGAGGAGGAGGAGGAGGAGGAGGAGGGGGAGGGGGAGGAGGAGGAGGAGGAGGTGGAGGAGGAGGAGGAGGTGGAGGAGGAGGAGGAGGAGGAGGAGGAGGAGGGAGGAGGAGGAGAGAGGAGGAGGAGGAGGAGGAGGAGGGGGAGGAGGAGGAGGAGGAGGAGGAGAAGGAGGAGGAGGAGGAGGGGAGTCCCGCCAGAAGTTGCAAGGATGGAGGGCTGGTGGTTTTCAGAATGCGGTTGTGGCCTCAGCCCCGTGCGAATTCGTCTTTGAAGTTTCCAAAACTTCAGGGATGGAGGGTCAGGCGTTTCCAAAATGCGGCTGCCGCCGTAGCCACGCCCAGAGTGCTTTCAAGATGGGATTCTCCGTTGAGACTTCCTCGAACCCTATGACCCGAAGTCCGCAGTTACGCAACAGTTGCACGGATGGAGGGCGGCTCGCTTTCAAAATGGGGCCCTCGCTTGAGACCGCAGCAACCTCTCTTGCATGTGTGCATACCTTACGCGGATGGAGGGCAGATGATGTCTCAAAGCGGGTGGTGGGGGGCTATCCCAGACATGCGACGTCCTGATTTTTGTCCCCGAAGTTCCGACGTCAGAAACGGACGGCGCCCCTGGAAGTTCCGACCCTTTCCCCGTGACCGATGTTTCGTCCTGAGTCGTTGTTCGACGGTCCCGCGGCCCGGCGAGGGCCCCCCGGGGCCGAAAATCGCCAAACATTTGCCGTCCCGATTTTTTGTTGCACGGCGCGATCATGCCTGGGATCGGTTGACACGCCATTGACCTTTCTCGTCGCCCTACCCCCCTGCGCTTCTGCGAGCCAGGAGAGCAGGGCAGGCGCTTCACGAGCGGGGTGTCTCGCCCGGGTGGCAGGCCCACGGCGCGCGCTCCTCGCTCAAGGGCGGGGCGCGCTTCCCGCAGCGGAGACGAGTATGGACATGTGAAGCGGGGGATTCGGGACGAGGCAGGGAGGGAGGGAGGGAGGGAGGAGGAGGAGGAGGAGGAGGAGGTAGGAGGTTTGGGACGGGACGCATCCCGAGTTTACTCTGATCCTCGTGCTGCTCCTCCTCGTCTTCTTCCTCCTCTTCCTCTTTTCTGTCCTCCTCCTGCTCCTCCCTCCTCCTCCTCCTCCTCCACCTCCACCTCCTCCTCGCCCTCCTCCTCCTTCTCCTCCTCCTCCTCCTCCTTTTCTGCTCCTCCTTCTCTCCTCCTCTCCTCCCCACCGCAGGCCGACTCCGGCGCCTCGGTCGGCGAACGTGCCGAGACCACCCGCATGTTGGTTTGCATGGCGGCGGCATTCGTCGCCGTGTATCCCTCCGCGGCGCCGACGACGACGGCGGCAACGACGGCGGTGGCCACGGTCGCGGCCTCGGCGACGGTGGCGGCTGCGGCGGCCGCGACGGCCACAACGGCGACCGTGGAAATAGCAACCATGATGGGGGAGGCGAGGAGGAGGAGGAGGAGGAGGAGGAGGAGGAGGTCGATGGGCAGGAGGGGGATGAGCACGAGAAGAAGGAGCAGGAGGAACATGGAAGGGCGATGAGAGCGGAGGAGAAGGAGAAGATGAAACAGGAGGTAGGGAGAGGAGGAGTTTCGGGAGGAGGAGGAGACGGAGGAGGAGGAGGAGGACCAGTGTAAACCCAAGAGTCACCAACGGTGTTGGTGTAAACCCTCCCCCCAAGCACCCTCTTCATAGGCCCCTACAACGGTTCATTCCCACAGAGGGGTTTGCCTCATTAGAAGACAACTGTCTGAAGACCCTCAAGCATGGCAAAACATGATTCTCGGTATTCCAACGCCACGGATGAACCTGACTGTTGCGTCTTGACGATCCTGAATCGTGCCAGCACGCCATTCCTGGGACCTCAACTCTGCGAATCATCGTAGCTGTTGCACCCTCCAAATCGTGAATCCTTCCTAAACACCATTTCTGGTACGTCGATCGTCGACCATGGGGAATCCGTGAAACTTTTTCAATGTTGTATCAAGAATGTGCGCGGCTCTGAGGCGAGAGCCACATTTTGAAAAGGAACCGCCTTCGATCCGTGAAACTCTTGCATTTGTTAAGACGAATGTGCGCGGCGCTAAGGCGAGAGCCACATTTTGAAAACGACCCGCCCTCCATCCGTGAAGCCCCTGCAAAATTTTAAAACGATTGTGCGCGGCGCTCAGGCGATAACCACATTTTGAAAACCACCCGCCCTCAATCCGTGAAACTCTTGCACAGTTTTAAAACGAATGTGCGCGGCGCTAACGCGAAAACCACATTTTGAAAACCACCCGCCCTCAATCCGTGAAGGCATTGCATTCAAAAAAAACGAATGTGCGCGGCGCTGAGTCGAGAGCAACATTTTGAAAACGACCCGCCCTCAATCCGTAAAACTCTTGCAAATGCTGAAAACGAATATGCCCGGCGCTAAGGCGAGAGCCACATTTTGAAAACGACCCGCCCTCCATTTGTGTAATTGTTGCCAATGTTTAAACCTCAGGGTCATAAGTGGTGAGGAAGTCTCAGGCGAAACGTCCGACCCGCCCTCAAAACTGAGAGCATAATTCGACGGCCGGCAGGATGAGGAATGAGGAGCAGACGGGAGGAGGATATTTTGGCAGGAAGAGGGAGGGGGATAGGCACGGGAGAGAGGGCCGGAGGGGAGCGAGAGGAGGGGGAGGTCGGTGGAGGGAGGAGCGTGTACCAGGGAGGACAAAGTCCAAGGAAACGTCAACATGGATTAAGGCGCGTAGATTAGTGGTGGATCCCGTTTCCTTACGTAATCGGCGCGAGCCGTCGCCAAATGAGGTGGCCATGGCCTCATCTTTCGGGGCACCTTCCCCGATCCGTGGATCTGGCGCCCACGCGCCGGACCCACGGATCCTTAATCCATGTTGGCGTGCGCCCGACAAAGGAAGCGGATGGGGAATTGTCGGCATAGCAGGTGAGGAGCAGCAGCAGTATCGGTACAGGTACGTCCCCTGGAGCCTCATCGTGACCGGGGCGTCCCACTTCACGGTCTCCGCTTCGTCATTCTAGTCTCGTCTGTCTTCTTCGCGTCAGCACCGGCATCATCACCACCACAACTATCATCATCATCACCACATCATCATCAATATCATCATGATTATCGTCATCATCATCAGCATCATCATCATAACCATGATTTTCATGACCATCACCATCTCAATCTTCATCCTCATCTTCATCCTCCGCCTCCTCCTCATCTTCATCCTGATCCTCATCATCGAGCGTGCGAAACTGCATGCTCCATTTGGCAGGAAGAATGTCATATTGGGTCATGGACCTTCGAGGAGCAAGCGGTGCTTTATCATCACCGCATTGCAGGCCATAGTTGCCAACGCAAGCTCGCGCAGGAACGCGGATTCGATGGACATGGCGCGCGAAGGCAGCTGGGGCATGTTTCGAGTTTCGGGCGCGTCATGCTGTGTTGTTGTTCCCCCCGTCCCTCCTTCCCTTTGGAACTGCCCATTGCCTTTGAGACTCAGTGCCCGTGGCCGGCGGGATGCCCAGCCCCTTTTGAAATGTTTCTGCCGTTGCTGGGTCATGTGCTCTCATCTCTCCCGTTTCCTTCCCGCCTCTCATGCCCGACGATCGTGCCGACAATGGTGGCCGGAGCGTGAGTGACGCGAGCCACTGTGGCGAGGGGCGGGTCAGTGGACCAGCGACGGCGTCAGCAAAAAGCCAGGGAGCGCCGACCGACGGACGAAGACGAGTACCACAAGATATGAGATCTGCCACAGGCGCTCATAGACGACGACTGGTCTAGGCCAAGATGGTGGTGGCAGTCCTGGGACTGGTCCTGGGGGTGGAACATGTCAGACTGGCGATCCGCTCGAGAGGATTGGGCGCCGTCCGCCAGATGCAGTTCACAGACAGAGCGTTCGCGATACTTTGGTGCACCTCCACTGTTTCCTGGACTGGAACACTTGGACCTTTTATGCAGCGATTCTGAGGTCACGGAGAACGGGGGTCCAGCCGAGTCATCAGTCCTCAAGAGTGATGGAAGGCTTGTAGATTGGGCTCCCGGCGAAGTTCAGGAACATTCGAGACGAATTGGACAGTGATGACGTCGTGGATCGGGTTTTGGCACATAACAAGTAACTGAACGGAGAACGACCTGAGGATCAAGAGCGCGAGGCTTAAGGAGCGGCTCTTTTTGACTACGGCACTGACGAAGGTGAGTCTTTGACGTATGAAAAAATCAGACGTGACGAGCAGATAGCATGGTCTGAGTCTTCCAGACGCAGGAAAGCGAGGTCATGCGAGGAGGGCGGCCAGCTGAGCGAGCATGATCGCATTAACCTACGCACACGGCGTCGTCCGTGTGCCGTGCTATTTTGACGTCAGTTGCGAGGGCGAGACCAGTGCTGCCAGCCCAGCAGAGAGGGAGCGCACCAAGAGGTTCCTTGACCATAGAAAAGGATATCGAGGAGCAGGAATCGGACGGAGAGCTCGATCTCCACGAGGCCGAGTTCCCAGGGGACGAGGTCGAAATCTTGCTGAGCACTCTCGATGGGCGCAGCTTCCACGAGGACGATGCGGCGCAGGTCTTCGCGGAGGTGGCTGAGCAGCAGAAGAAGATTGGATCTTGGAAGGAGGAGCTTCGCCGGCTCAAGGCCGCTCGCAGGGTCGACAGAGACTTTTTCGATCGCTGGCGAGGTGGACAGAGCCAGCCGCCCCCCAAGCCGCAGTCTGGTCTCAGACGGGACCCCCGCGCAATCTGCGGCGAGAAGGGGCACTAGAAGAAGGATTGCAAGAAGCCGCGCAGATCGAAGGCGCATCGCCCGGAAGCCGAAGGCAAGCCACCCGCCGGATAGGCGGCGCGAGCTTCCGACGGTCTCTTCGCCTGGTTGTTAGTTTCGGCATTTCGGCCCCGTCATGGGCCACATTCGCGAAGCAGCTGACCGACGCGCTGCCCCATGTAATTTCGAGGAGTAAGCAGGCGCCCTACGCCGGCGCGACCCTGAGAGACGCGGGATCGGGGCTCAAGAGACGGGGTCAATGCAAACAGGGGTGCGCCAGGGCACTGGATCCTGCAGGATCCTGCGAAGGCCCCCTCTGGCTGACCCGGGTTAGCGAGCCGCTCGTTGCCGCGAGGCGGCCGCGCACATTGGCCGACCCGCGTTTGCGAAGACTTGCGCTGCAGCTTTTTCCTTGCGTTGCATTTGTTTGTTTCCTGCTGGCCCGGGTCTGGATTGACCTGGGTCAGAAGATCCCCGACAGGAGATCACGCGCTGGTTGACGCGGCAGCAGCGAGCCAGACTTGAACGACATGTAGCGCTCGCTCGCCAGGAAAAGTCCCAGGGTGCACGTGGCGAGGCAGGGCGACCACCCCTATGCGAACGGAGTCGGCGGTCGCGCCCTTCCAGAGGCGACGGCCCTCGCCCCCCCTAGGTCTCCACATGTGAGGTATCCTGTTGTTCTTGCTGTTCTTGGCGCTGCCTCATGCACGCCCTCCTTTCCCACCCACTGGAACCCCGGGTCCCCCATGGGCTGGCATCTACATTCACGGGCGCGAGATCGCCGTGAGTCGCGAGAGCGACGAGCCCGCGACCATCCCGATGAGCGAGCTGGGGTCAGGCCACCAGACCGCCAGCCCGATTGGACGCGAGCCCGCCAATCTCAAGCTCGATCCTGAGATTGCCAAGATGCCCCCGAGCTTCACGACCAAAGGCCGCTCTTGGATGACGTCTGAGATCAGAGTCCGCCGACTATCGGGGGATCGGAGGGACTGGATCAGGCTCGCGCGCGCGAAGCCGAGGGCGGCGCTCGCGCAGCCGAGCGACCTCAGCGGCTAGTCAATCCCTTTTGGAACTTCCGAGCAGCACGACGACGACGCGCGCGCGGTGTCGAGGCGACAAGTGCATCAAGATCGGGCGCCGCTGCGAGAACTATTGGCGCCGGGACAACATCGGGACCGCGCCTGGCCGCTGGGTCGGCCACGCTGAGTTGGCGAATGAGTCCGCGGGCGAGGGCCGAGGGGATCGGGCGCCAGGGAGCGACCGCGCCCGAAGCGAGCAGTCTCTCACCCTTCTCTCCCTGCCCCGCTCAGTCGGGCGATGATTTCCAGGAACTGCCAGGCGCCGGGGTCGCCCGTCACTTCCGCTGCCCCTCCCGGCTCAAGCCGATCAGTTTCTCCGCCCGAAGATTTTCTCGGAGCGGCTCGCCATAGAGAGGCGCGCCAGGGCGAGACGCTCGGCCCGGCAGGCGGGCGGCTAAGCGCTGCGGGGCCGCCGCCCACCAATCCACCCCGACCCGACCCGAAGGCCCCAATTGGCCTCCGCTCCCCAGGGGGGGCGCCGGGGAACAGTGAGAAGCAGAAGAAGAAGAAGAAGAAGAAGAAGAAGAAGAAGGGGGAAATAAGATAACCCCCAGAAAAAGTGGGGCCCATGCCTCCCGGGCCCGAAATGCGGGCATTCGGGTGCGTCTGGGGGGGTCTGGCGGGCAGTCATCGGGGCCCTCCTGGGTCGGACCAGAGCGCAAGTTCGATCGGCGGGGCTGGCCAGCGAGAGGCCCCCCCCCCGTCCATCAACAGGACGTCGAGCGCGAGGCGTGCAACTGGAAGCCGGGGTCGATCGACTACTCGGACGCGGGGCTGTCCGACGTTGTGAGGGAGCCTGGCCAACTAGGGCTCTTGCGTCTTCTCTCCAGGGGCTGCGACATGGAGACGGTGGACTCTGAAGCTCTTGCCCGTGCTCCAGTCCGGCGCGATGTCCGGGATCACCGCGGCGTTGGCGCCAAAGGTGGATTTGGCGAGTCACGAGTCCAAGTGGACTCTGGCCGACTGCCCGCGTCTGGAGGCGGCTCGGTCGCCCTGCGACAAACAGTGCGCGCCTTGGGCGATGCGCAAGCTGCGCGGCACCAGGCCTGCACATTTTCCCTGGGCGGAGGAGGGGCAGTTATAGAGTCCAAGGTCAAGAAGGAGGTCGAGAAGACCAAGAAGGAGAGGAAGGCCGAGGATAAGTTCCGGGAGCAGGAGCAGTTCCAAGGAATGGCTCAGGCGGCGTTGGCGGCGTCGGAGCTCGATCGCGAGCCTCTGCCCGGGCCCGCGCATCGAGTTCCCAAGGAACCAAGGCCGATGCCCGTCCAGAGGGCATGGCCGGTCTTCCCCGACAGCGACCACGCCCAAGCACCCGGCCCCCCTGGACCCGACGGGCCCAGCGGCCGGGAAGAGCCCCCCGGCGAGGCACCCCCAGGAGTCGCCCCATTCGGATGCGACCACGAGGCCCCAGCAAGACCAAGAGGCCAATCGGCAGGACATCCTAGAGCACGTGCAGGCTCAGCGCGAGGCGACGGAGAACACGAATCGCAATTTCAGCGAGCTGAGGGCGCTCCCGAGGCAGTCGGTCGCTGGCGGCGGCAGCGGATCCGACCACCGACGGGTTCATCGACGAGAACGGGCAGCGACAAAGCTCGCAGTCGACGCAGTGTTTGTCCATATTCAGCGGCACTGCCTCCGCGTCAGAAACCGGCCCCTCCGAGACAGGCGGAGGGGCCCCCATGTCAGCAGAGACCCCTGGGCCACTAGTCAGCGCAAGACTCCAGCGCGCAGGCCGTCGGGGTTCAGAAATAGAAGGGACGCCATCATCTTCATTGTCATCATCATCATCCTCATCCTCATCATCATCATCATCGTTCTCCGTGCTGAGCGGGACGCTCATCAGTTTCTGACGGCAGGCCCGAGGTGGGCTGTGCCTTCACTCGTGCTGGCTCACACGGACGAGATCGGTCTGCCCGTCCAGTTCCGCTCGGTCACTCTCGAGAATCAAGCTGCCATGTATCGTGTGCGTCTTCGGTCCGAAGCCTTTCCTCGCATATACGATCGCTGGCGCGAACTCCGCGACGACGAAGTGGACCGACTTTCCGTGCCTCGGAGGGCTGATTGGGTTCGAGAGTCCATGACTGGGTCCCTTTGTTGTCTGTTTGAACGTTTTCAGGCCATCCACAGTATTCCCTCCGACCCCGACATGTCCATGCTCCAGAAGACGATCCTC